GACTGAGGGCAATGGCAGTAGGTCTTGTACCTCAGAGCAGAGGATGGAAGGGATCCCAGACCATCTCCTGTCCGTTGGCACAACCTGCCTGTCATCACAACCACACCTCAGCAGCATGGGTAGCCAGCTCTGAGCCTGGCCAGTGTCCTCTTCTCCTGGCACTCTCTAACCAAATTCCTCCAGGAATAGCATGCTTCCAGGGATGGCAAGAGAACTGTCACCTCTTCCCAGGGCAATAATGGCCCCTCCACCCAAACCATCCACCAGCCTAACCCCAGGTCCCCCTGTTGATATGGAGGTCATTGCTTAAATGGGAAGTCCTTGCCAGATCTTCCTTAGCCTCAAACTCACTCTGCAGCAGGTTTGGAGTCTGGGCCACAAGTGGGTCTCTGCCCAGCCACTTGGTCCCCCCCCCATTCCCTGACCATCCTGTATGCCAGTACCAACTGTCCTGTGCTACACCCTTTCAGATTCTTCTTCTTCTTCTTTTTTTTTTTTTTTTTTTTAATACTGAGGATTTTAATCCAGGGGCACTTTACCACCAACCCACATCCCCAGCACTTTTTCCCTTTTTATATTTTTTATATTTTGAGAAAGGGATTCACTAAGTTGCATAAGGCCTTGCTAAGTTGCTGAGGCTGGCTTTTAACTTGCAATCCTCCTGCCCCAGCCTCCTGGGTTGTGGGACATGTCTGGCTCCCTTTCAGATTTGAAAGACGTCTTACTGACAGGGAAGCAGAAAGCATGTGTTCTTGCTTGGCTCTACCACCTGCTACACAATCTCATCTGGTCCCTGGGCTTTTCTGGAACCCAGTGTCTGTAATAAGGAGAGGAGGGCTGAATCCATGATTCCAAGGCTTCTTTCCAGTTCCAGAATCTCTTGCATCAACTTTGTCTGCCCTCTTCATCATTCACCATCCCCAGCCTTTCCCCATGGAGTCTGCTTCCGTAACAACGTCCCCTTTTCTGATCTTACTATAGGTCTTCCCAGTGTCACGGCTCCAAATAAAATTCCCCAGGGAAATTCTTGATCTCTTATGAATTGCAAAATAAAGATCTTTCCAACACACCGAGGTTGCCAGCACAGCCATGTGCAGGGTTTACCCATGGGAGTGAGGAGGCGGCTTTCTCCTGCTTGTTCTCACTGTCTTGTGAACTTGTGCTCTGCAGATCAGGATTATGACGGTAATTTTTTAAAACCGGTTTTGCTTCAGGTATATGAATATGTGTCGAGGTATTATCTTCCTGGAAGTCTTTTCTTTACAAAGTTGTGAGCTCTTTATAAAAATCTAATTCTGAATTACCAGAACCTTCCATTAAGGAGCACCCTGTTGGCCTCAGCCCCGTCTGATAACTTCTGCCTTCACTTTCTCGGGGTCTCCTACTCCAGGCTGCTTCTGGTCCTTCCTGGTAGGGCTCACATGTTCACAATGGTCCTGCCATTCCTGCCTGGGGTCTCGGAATGCTCCAACTGAAAAGGGCAGAGGGAGGAGGGAGTCAGGTCTTGCCCGGCAGAGGTTGAGATTCAACATTTCTCAGTCCTGAGCAGCCCATACTGGAGACAAAGGGGTATTTGAGATGGTCGTGCTGGCCACCTAGGGCATCGGGCACAACAATTGCTCAGCAAAGCTCCAAGATAGTGGCTGGAAAATCACCAAAGAGCAGCACTTGCAAATGCTTTCTCACTTTGAAATGCTCCAAACCACCTGCAAAGTAAGTGCTGACACCCTGCCACTAACTGACCGCATGGGGAAGGGTTAGTGACTTGATACTCTGCCTTCCCCCAGACAGAAGCCCAGGCTCTTTACTCCAGGCCTGTTTGGCTCAACCCTTGGTCTCCATCCCTAGAAAGGGATAAGAATGTATTAGAAAGATTCAGTGGGAAAAAAGAAGGTGGCTTAAGAGAGCTTCTGCCTACCCCTACGCTTCTCCTCTTTGGGGATTTGGCCAGCCTCCCTTAGGAGCAAGGAAAAAAGATTGATCCCCAAAGCCTCTTCCCCCTCTCTGCATCCACCTTCATTCCATCCCCATCTTCCTCATCTCTGTGCCTCCCCCAGCCCAGGAAGGAAGGGAATCCTGGCAACGCCTAACACCTCCATCTCCATCTCCACCCTGGTTCTTGGCTCCTCCTCTTCAGGCCTTAACCTTTGGGTGGGAAGGGGAAGGATGCATTTAAATCATCACCATACAAACAGGAACACAGAAGAAAGCTTTGCATATAGTGGGAAACCCGCACTCCAAAGCCAACCCATGACCCAGCCATATTGCTTTGGAACACACTGGCTGGCCCTCTGCATGTCCCTGCCAGGAAGCATGGGCCAGGCACTTATGAGGAGGGAACAGAGATTATGTTGGGAGTCAGTCTTGGCTAAATCCATCCTGATTGTCAGAGATCAGTTCCCTAAAGAAGGAGTAAGAATATAGGAATCAGATGTGGACACAGAGCTCTCAGCCAGTCCCAAGTGGGTAGAAACTGGGTGAGAGGGACACATATGGCTGTGAGGACTGGCAGGCTTCCCTCCTGTGTCCACTATGGCATTTCTCCAAGACTCCAGACCTGGGACTCGGAGTACCTGGCCCGTCATCAAGGGCAGCCATGCACCTGCACCTCCTCTGGACACTCTCCTCTCCTGGAGGAAGAACAGGACCAGCAGGGCTTGAGGCTGGCGAGGTGGGGCAGGGGGCGGGGAGAACAAGGCTTCCTTTCTGCACTAATCATCCACTCCTGCCAGGAACAGGGGCACACGCCTGTGATACCAGGAGGCAGAGGCACGAGGATCCCAAGTTCAAGACTGGCCTAGGTGACTTATGTGTCTCAAAATAAAAAAAAAACAAAAAGGGCCAGGGGGGGTAGCCCAGTGGTAAAGCGCTCCAGGTTCAATTCTCAGTATGGGGCCGCAGGGGAAGTACTTTTGAACCTTATTCCCAAAGCAGAGGGTTGGCCTGACTAGGGTCCCAGAAGGGCTCCAAACCCCGTTCTCCAGTCCCATTTTTGTCACTCCTGCCCTTCCTGTAGCTAGAGAATGATTCAGGCAGGGATTCAGGACTTCCAGAACTTTGTGGCCAAGGCAAGCTCATCGCAGATGGTGCCAAAACTCTTAAGACAGAAAGACCACAAATAATGCAGAGAGGAGAGTGGCCCAGCCACAACTCTTAAGGGAGTCTAAGGAAGGAAAAGATGAGTGCCCGAGGGTGGCATAAAAACGCACACCTGTTCGATTCTGGAGTGCATGCACCGAATTACCTCCTTACTTATTAGCTGTGTGACTGAGCAAGTCACTTAACCTCTCTGAACACTGGTTTTATTACACATAGAAAATGTGAGAATAGACCAGTGGTTTCCAAACTTTTCCAACCACATTACCCTTCCTTCATTTTTATTTAAATTAAATCAATTATTTTTTTAGTACTGGGGAATGAACCCAGGGATGATTTTCCACTGAGCTACAACTCCAGTCCTTTTTTTTTTTTTTTTTGAGACAAGGCTCAATAGGTTTCCCAGGCTGGTCTTGAACTTGTAATTCTCTTGCCTCAGCCTCCCAGTTGCTGGGATTACAGGTGTGTACCACCACTCCCAGCTACCCTTCTTTACATAAAATCTTACCAGGCCCTCTATTTACAACGTGTTTATTGAACAGCCCTCATTTGATGGGTTACAAATATGATCAGCTTTTCCTTTCTTCTGAACACTACCTTCAAACTTCTCCACCGAGCCCCTCCTTCACAGAGCCAGTCTGTTCACTGTTAAAAAGTCTACTCAGTTTGTTTCAGTTTCAAGTTTCAATCTGATGTCCAACATGGTGCCCCCCTCTATTTCTCTCCATCAGATTTAGCCCATGGCCTAAGGAACCCCTGCTGCAGAGGAGAACATAGTCTGCTCTTTCTTTGCTTCTCCCCCAGCACTTTTCTGGGCCTCCATGTCAGTTTCTGGGGCAGGGAGGGAAGGGGAACAGAAAAAGAAGCGAGTCCCTTTACTACCCAGGGTGGCTCTGGTCCTCCTGGGCTGTCTGTGTCCATGCCCTTCAGGCGTCCAGACATGGTTGCTTGGGGCATCTTCCCTCCCCTTGGTATCAAGTTCCAGCAGCCACCCTGTGCTGGCCAGATGGCCCAAGCGAGGCCATCCACAGCCCTCAAGGATTCTAAGGTACTTACTCTTGCTAGCTGCTCCCTGCTACCCAGTTCTCCTGCTGCATGAGGCATAGGTAAGAGGCCTCTGCAAAAGGAAATGCCCAGTCAGGGAACAGGAAGTGTGCAGGGAGGGAGAACCCACAGCAGTTCCCCAAGGTAAGGACTCTGTTTGGGCAATTCTCGGCCTATAGTACACATTAGAGTCATGAAATGCTTATCAAGAAACACCAACGTGCTGACCCCTGCAGGCCGGTTAACACTGTCTTGAGGGAAGGACTTGAGAACATTTTGTAAGCTTCCAAGGTGACTTTCAAAGGCAACCAGCCCTGGGAACCACTGCCCCATCCACAAATTCTCATTAGATGATGGGAGGGGGCCTGCTAGACCCAATGAAGGACTGGGAGTGACATGGGGTGACTTGGAGCCCAGTACCCTTAGCATTAGGGCTTTGGTGACAATTTGAAGTACCAGAAGATCTCCCACTCAACACCCTAGGAAAAGTGGTTTGCAAACTTGTCTTAGCAGCAGAACTTCCGTTCATATGAACTCTTCCCAAGGCCCGTGTGTCACAGAGTAAATGATAGAAGCAGGGGTTGGGGTCTGGAGCCAAGCACTGAACCAGAGCTCTCCAATAGCCTTGGAACCTGTTCCAAATTCGACCATTCCTCAGGCCCCTCTGAAGACCTTCTGTTGCTGTTAGATGGGGATGAAAGAGAGCAGGGGAGCTGGAGCCAGAGGTATGGGGAGAGGCCAGGGAAGCGAGGGGGTACCCATGGCAGGCTAGGGAGCCATTGAACAAGGGAAGGAGGCTCAGGTGGAGGCCCTGCCTGAGCCCCCAGAAAGGTATGCTCTCCCCCTGTGCCCCTGAGCAGGGGGAAGAAGAGAGGCCATGGCCTCAGGACCTGCAGCCACCACCCTTGCCTGGGCAGGAGGAGAAATCTGATGAAAATGAGAGGCCTGCCACGGAGCCCCTGTTTAAGGTCCTAGACACTCCTCTGAGTGAGGGCGACGAGCCCACAACGTTGCCGGCCCAGCAGGACCACGGGCACAGCGTACAGATGGAGGGCTACCTTGGCCGCAAGCATGACCTGGAGGGGCCCAACAAGAAGGCATCCAACAGGTGTCGGGGAGGGCTGCTGGGCTCGGGGAGAGGGGCAGCTTCCAGGGTTCTCTAGTAGCAGAGCCTTGGCCACGGGTGTGTGCTGGGAAAGAGCCGCCCTTGGCCTCTCATTTGGGAGAGCTCCTGGGTACCCCCAGGAGCCAAACCAGGGCCACTTGGCATGATGGAAAAAGCCTCAGTTGTGGTCCAGAGTTCAAATCCTACAACTTCACACACGTTATCCAACCTCCCTGTCAGTTTCCCCATTCATAAAATGGCCATGATGACAATGGTAGGCATGTTCAGTAGGGACACTGTCCCTGGCACAGAGTGGGGCCGTGGTGGACACTGGCTATTGATATTACAGTTATTGCAAAGCTGGGCAGCAAGAGGGAGTCTTGGTGCTAACAGCATGTCCTTGACCAAGACCTGCTTTCATTGATCTAGGCCTATTTCTTTAGCTATAAAATAGGAGGTGACTGGGGGCCCATGACCCAGATGCCCTCTGGGAGTCCCTTCTAGTGCTGTCATTCAGTGAGTCCATGACCCTGAGAAACTGACTCAAAGGATATGTCCATTCCTGATTCTGAGATAGTCATGTCCTTGGATTTGGTCTTTACAGGGCTGCTCCTCCCAGGTCCTTGGAGCCTCTTTTTCTCTAGCAGCAGTCCATGGCCTCAGGGAAATGGAATCCAGAAGTTGAAGCAAGCCACATTCCCAGGGACACTTGGAAGCACACAGAGCTCCCTATCTGGGGGGACTCAACAAAGCTACTTCAAATTCCAAAAAGAAACAATTTAGTGACCCAACTGCCCAGAAGAGGTTTATTGCTTAAATGGGAGTCCACCAGAAAAAGGGAGGCTAACACTTATTGAGTACCTACTATGTGCCAGGCATTATGTTAGGACTGATAAAATCTAACAACCACCCTGCGATACTAAAGTTTCCATTTCCAGATGGAGAAACAGTCTCAGAGAGGCTAAGTCATTTACTCAAGGCACAGCCTTACTCCAAAGACCCAGGTCCCCCTCAGCAGCTGCCTTACTGCTGGAGGAAGGATCTCTGAGTAGCAAGTCAGAAACCCAGGCTTCATAAAAATGGCTCTGCAGCAACTTTATACTGACCTTCCAGTACTTCTTATCCATGCGCCCTGCTAGTTCTCCACTTTCCTACCCTCAAAAAAGGCCTGGAAGTACAGCTCAGTGGCAGAGAGTGTGCGTAGCATGCAAAAGGCTCTGGGTTCAATCCCTAATACTACACACACACACACACACACACACATGCTAGGATAATATACTGTGCATATATCATCCAAACAGAAATAACAACCAAAACAAAACCCAATTCACTTCATGATTCTGTAGTGAGAATCAAATTTTCCAATGAATGCGGAATACTTTGAAAAATTAAGTTTGTGCTATTGATCTTAGATTTAGTAATTCTACTTCTAGAAATGTATGATCTCATGGTAAGATCAGAACTATAGGCAAAGACATATACATGAGAATGATCATCACATCACTATTTAAATTATGGATAAATTTTCCACAAAAAAGAGATTATGTGTATATATATGGCATACTATAGTCACCCAAAAATCGATATCAAGAAATAATTGAGGATATGAATAAATACTCATGATATAGTGTTTAATCTTAAAAGCAGGAGGCAAAACTGAATAGATAAGGCTGTGGATGTAGCTCAGTGGTAGAGCATTTGCCTAGCATGCCTGAGGCCCTGGGTGTGATTCCCAGAAAATAAATAAATACACACACACACACACACACACACACACACACACAACAGAGAGAGAGAGAGAGAGAGAGAGAGAGAGAGTATATTCCAATTTTAGCTATCTATGTATATAGGAAAATCTGAATGTGAATAGAAGAAAAACTAGAATATGTAAAATGTGAACAGTAGTTAGCTTTTGGTATTGAAATTACATACAGATGATCCTCTCCCCTACCCACCCCCCACACTTTCTAAACAATAAAATCTGACTATTTATCAGAGCAAAAATAACTCAATAAAAAGAAACGGAAAAGCCATAGGCATTGATCATAAAGATACTGTATCAGGACTGTGGGTGACCTATTTGTCCCCATCTTTGCAGGTCCTGGAACAATTTGTACTGTGTGCTCAGGAATAGTGAACTGACCTTCTACAAGGACGCCAAAAACCTGGCCCTGGGGGTTCCCTACCATGGGGAGGAGCCCCTGGCCCTGAGACATGCTATCTGTGAGATTGCTGCCAACTACAAAAAGAAGAAGCACGTCTTTAAGCTGAGGTGAGCCTTCCTGCCTGCTGCCCCTTACCTAGGCCCTGAACCCTTTGAACCCTCAGGCTGATGGCTTTGGCATGAGTGACCAGGTAGAGGTTCACTGTAGGGGACCAGCTCCAACCAAGCTCATGCTGCTCCTTGAGGATTTTGCGAATTGAAGAGGCTCACCATTCAGACTCTTACCTCTCAGAAGGCACTGAGAGTATTCTGAATAACAGGCTCGGGGACAGGGGGAGTCTTAGCCCAGGTCATGGCTTCTGACATGACAGGAAACTCTGTTTTTCTCCTAGGCTGAGTAATGGCAGCGAGTGGCTCTTTCATGGCAAAGATGAGGTAAGTGTGGGGTGACCAACCCATCTGAGCCTAACAAAGAGGCAGGTGGAAGAGACCTAGGCCTCTGGACCTCAAGGCTCCCGTGGAACAGGCAGTCCCAGGAGCACTCCCATTGCCTTGGGGCCCTGGACTTGGCCCTGACACCCCCATCCCGTAGGAGGAGATGCTGTCCTGGCTGCAAGGTGTGAGCACGGCCATCAACGAGTCCCAGAGCATCCGCGTCAAGACGCAGAGCCTGCCTCTGCCCTCCCTCACTGGCCCGGATGCTAGTCTTGGCAAGAAGGACAAGGAGAAGAGATTCAGTTTCTTCCCCAAAAAGAAATAGCAGCCGGTGGCCCCCGCTGGTGGGGCCAGCCAGGCAGGCGCAGTGGTGCATCAGGGCACACAGGGACTGGCCACCTGAGGCCGTGGGCCCTGACCTCCACAGTGGATGGTCCTCCTCCACCTCCTGCCCACCAGCTCGAGAGTCACCAGGCCGGCCCCTGGGGCCCCCGCTGCGCTGCAATAGCTGCCTCTGCGCCCTGCCTGGCAGCCCCGACGCCTGCCAACATGCCCTCTGCCTGTGGCACAGACGGCTTGGCTCCAGGAGGCAGGAAACGGTTCCCTGAGGCGCATGCCCTCCTCTCTGCATCCCCATAAAAGCAGAAGGTGGCTGATGGGGCTTGTTCAATGCTGCCCACTCCCACAGCAAGTCGTGCTTGGGGTTACCTCCCATGTGGTCACAGCCAGGAAAGGGGAAGGGAAAGGGAAGGGGGACACTGGCAAAGCCTGACCTGCCCTTAGGGGAATGAGGAGACTTCAGGGGGGCCACAGAGCCCCAGCTCTGGGCCAGGGGCTGCTGGGGGACTGAGGGGACAAGAAGGAACACAGGGCCTCAGGTGCTGCCAGCCACCTCCCCACTGGGCTTTCTCAGAACTGGGTCCCTCCTTAGGGCCAGCAGATACTTTCCTCTCCCCTCCTCTGTGTTGTGGGTCCTGACTAAGGGAGCCTCCTGCTGCCCCTGGCACCCTTTTTTGGTACCAGCAGAGACTGAAGGAGGGAGGACCAGCAGTTCTCAAACCATTCCTCTTTGAAAACCCTAGTTAGAGCTTCGGGCTCAGGGCTCAGACCTGAAGGAGGGACAGACAGGTCCCCACACTGCCTAAGGCTCTGCCTCTCCGGGCTGGGATCCTTCCCACTCCCAATAGCAACCAAGCCAGCAATATCCGCTAGATGCACAGCGGGGAACCAGTGTAGGCCCCCAGATATGGGATGGATGCCCCAGCGCCAGGTAAAGCATCCCAAAGTCCAGTGCCCATTGTGTCTGCAGCTGGTGTCATCCAAGGCTACTGACTGACAGGACAGAGAGCCGGGTTATCAGAGTGGAGTGACAAATATGGCCGTACCTAGGTATTAACGGCATGTGACACAACTACTGCTGGGCAGCTGGGATAAATGCTGGGGCCAGAGAGGGCCTGGCCTTGGGTTCTGAGAGACATATAGATACAGAGATCACCAAACATCTCCCAAACCCACTCCAAACACTAACAGGGGCTCTGCAATCTCTGTCCCCAGGGAGAGTCTTCCCCATGCTCTGGAGGGGCAAAATCACCAGTCCAATGAGGACTTTCCTTCTCTGAAAGCAATACAGCTTCAGCCCAGCATCTTATCTGGGGTTAGGTCCTAAAGAGGGGATCAAGCTGAAGGCAGCAGGCGTTCTCCCCCAGGGAGACCAAAAAGGTCCCCAGGGCCCAAAGCTACTTTTTCTATTGCCTTCCCTATGGGAAGGAGCTTTGGCTTTGTGGAAATGAATCAGGTAAGACTCAGGGAAAAGCCACACAGGTAGATATCAGAGTTAGGAGGCCTTCCCGGGAACCTTTAGTACTGACTGGGGCAGGCACAGCTCAGAGAGCACTATGTCAGGGTGAGGCCGACTCCAGCAGACAGGAACCACACGGGAGGGAATCAGTTACCCAATGGAGCCTGCTCTCCCCACATGAGGTCTTCCACCTCTATAGTGAGGGTCTTCATTTGGCCTCAACACATAGGACCCTATGACCCTCTGCTTCTACAGGGAACCTGGCGTGTTCCATTAGTCAGCCTCTGTCTACTGCTGGGGAAGCCAAGGCTGGAAGGTGACCATACTCACCTGGCAGTAAAAAAAGCCTTTGGTGCATTCAAAGGCAGGCCCACCTCTGGGACAGAGAGCAGGCTCCTTGCCAAGGGCAGAAGGTGACAAGTAGCTCTCAACTATTTCCCCGGGCCAGTAGTGAGCCAATGGACAAAGGTCCACCTTCTCCCCTCCATGTGTGCCCAAGTAGCACCAGAAGTGAGGAATTTCCAGTGAGCAACTCCATGGAGTCAAGAAAGAAAGGGCTCCATGGAAGAGCTAGAATCTCGCCACCCCAGGTTCCCAGGATTGGGCAAGGGCAGCCAGCTGCATGTGATTCACTATCTACCGCCAGCTCCCCACACATCTTGCCCATATCACCCAGGTCCCGAGACACTCAATCTTTAACTGGACTGACATTGCAGGTGCCTGAATTTGGGAGACTCTAAGCCACTCAAGGACTAAGCTCTCCAGGTGCCCTGGCAAGGTTTCTTTTTTTTCCTTCTTTTCTCATATTTTTTTTATTTTGCAGTCTTTTCCTTGACAGTGTTTCCAAACTAGGGTGACACAGCTCCAGTCCACACCAGCATAACAGGCTTCCTCCCCAGGGCGGCTTAGAGGAAGCTCCTTCTGGGCATGTCAGGCGTCCTCCTGCCCACTCTTCCCCTTTGTCCCTGGCCTCAGCTGATTCTGGCTGAGGGAGGAGTGGAGGGTCCTGGGGCTCCCCCCACTCCTAACTTTCACCAAGCACCCAGAACAGGAGGCCTGTGTCGGGCTCGGCTTTCCCCCCTACTCCACCCCTCCGTTCTGCCTGTGGGAGGGCAATCAGGTCCCCTAGACTGGTCCTGGATCTCCTTCCTCCCTCAGTGGGAGGGGGCAGAGATCCAGAAGAGGAAGAGACCAGCTGGCCACATGGCTTGGTCCCTTGGACAAACAAGCTCAGGGAGGATGCAAGAGAGGAGGTGGCTGCGGAGGAATGTCACTTGTTGGGTACAGAATATGCTATCTGGGGCTGGCCCTGGGGCCGGCTGGGCCTTGTCCTCCACCTGCTCAAATGTGCTTCCACCAACCAGAGGAAACCCATTTACTAGTTTTTCTAATAAATCTATATAATGCTCCACATTTGTCTGTTCCTTATTTGACTAGCCTCGTTTTTTCTTTGAACTGGGCCACAGAGAGCCAGCACCATGAAGACAAGGGGATAGCTAGGCGCCACCTGAGACCCTGAGCCAAGCTTCCTTCAACTAGAAGGCCTACTGCAGGGTAAAATCATTTCTAGTCACAGATGAGTCCAGGCCACACTGGACATTAGAGTCCCCAGCCTCTGTGCCTAGGGTCCATCTACAGAGGGGCAGATTCATTTGGTCTGGGTGCATGGAACATAGGCACTGACGGGTTTCAAAAGGCTCCCAGATGATTCTAATGGGCAGCCGATAAGACCCTCTGCCCTGGCCTTGGCCCATGTCCTGAAGAGTTCCATCAGGGAGTCTGAGAAGCAGGAGCTCATCTGTTGTCTTCAATTCACATATGAGGAAAGGGCAAAAGTTCGGGCGATCCAGTTGGCTACTGGCAAGGCTGGGATAAAAGTGTGAGTCACCTGCCTGGTACATTTGTGGCTTCTCAGTGTTGTATCCAGGACTGGCCTGGGAGGAGCCAGCTCTCTTCTCAGTGACTATGGATATGACCACAGAAGATTCCGGGCAGCTGGTAGAACACAGGCTAACTGCCCTGCTTCTGCACAGGAGACTGCCACTCACCACTGGTCTCCCCTTGACCTCAGGAGATTCAGCAAACCCATGTTCAGGTTGAATCCATCCTCTTAGGTCAGAAGACTCATGGGCCCTCACTCTGCAGGGCTACGGGAACATTTATCTACCACCTGGGCCCTGCAGCCTCTTCCTGTCCAACCCCAGCCAGAACAAACTGGGCAAAATGAGATTGGTCCTCCAAGGAGAAAGGGCAGAAATCCCAATGAGCAAGAGGGAGGCATTCCTAGCCCTTCTGAATCCAGGCTTTCTCAATGTGATGAAAACAGAGGATCCATCCTGGCAAAATACACATGCACTCCTCACCCAATATTGGAAGCCATTTGAGGACATGCCCAGACCCCAAGCTAGGAACCCTTGCCTTCTGGGATGCCTCCTGGGACTGGAGAGGGAAAGATGAGGTATTCGCACCAGATATTGGTAACTTCTTATTAGAAAGTATCCCATTTGCCCCGGTCACTCCTCCCTCCCTGCTTTTAGCACAACTTTGGCCCTTGAGGAAGAGAGCTATAGGCTGGCATGTGAGGCCCTCTGCCCCAGACAGGACGCCAGGCCGTGGGTAGACAGAGAAGCAGAAGTAGCACAGAACAAGCTCCTTTCTGTGCATCCTGCTGTCTCTGCCTGCCCCATGAGCATCCTGGTGCCTGGATGACCAATGAGTGCAGAGGGAACACCCTGTGCCCTGACTACTCTAAGAAATCCTCAGCCACCAGCAACTCTCCCCACCCCCGCCAGGCGCAGTAAGAAGGCACACACAGGTCGGTGGGTCAGCAGTGGTTATTGCACCATTGGCACAGAGTGAAATGTGTGTACATTAGCGACAACCACAGGGACAGCAAGGCAACCCTCAAAAGTACCTGAACTAAGTCGGTTACATTCTTCACAGGAGGGGAATAAACAACAAGATGTATACTCGCTCGCACGCACATACCACAGGATGGAAAGCAATAAATTATTGGCCTCATTCCTGAGTCCTAAGAAAAGGCACAGTTAAAGAGCAAAGCCTGCCCAGGTCTCCCCCCGAGGGTCCTCAGCCTGGCAATGGCCAGCCAAGGGCCTGAGCAGTGCTTGCTCTCCCTGGGAAGAAGTGAGCTTAAATATTTGGCTTCCAACCAGAGAGATATTTACAAGGGAAGTGGGAAGCGCGACTCATCTGGGCTTGAGGAAAGGTGTCTGGAGCCCCAGGAGACCACCAGTACACAGAGCAGGCTGCAGGTGAGGTCACGCTAGGTCGCTCTTCTAGGAGAGCAAGGGCAGCCTTCACGAGGGCCCTGGGCAAGGGGCCCATGTAAGCCCAGATTCGTGGGGAGGTATGCCAGGTTCTTCCACACCAACATGGCTCCTGCCCCTGACCAGGAGTCAGAGTCAACCTACAGAGTTCAAGGCCTGGAATTTCTCTCTCAGGTTTCTCACTCTGCTCTGCTTGCTTGGGTCTGCTGGGTCCCTGGGACCATCTTCCTTCGGCTGATACTCTACAGAGTCTGGGAAATGTTGGCCTTGTGCCACCATGGCTGCCGGTGAGCTTGGTCCCTGCCCACTGCCCTCCTCATCCAGCCCTGCAGTGGGGCTGGGAAGGGGTCCCTTCTCCATGACAATCACCCGCCGGTTGTTCTCCAGGGTGACGTCTGCGGTGACATACAGGGCTTCACCTCCATTCAGCCGGCTTTGAGGCGGCATCCTAGGAGGTGGGGACTGGGTAGCTCCCTGGCTCCTCTTGGTGTTCAGGCTGCAACAGCGGCCCACTCTGCCAGAGAGAGGGGGCTCCACCATATTCTCAGGCGCAGAGTAGCTCCGGTTGACGGGTGGGCCACGAGGGCGAGGGCGGCTTCCCTCGGCCTGGACAGCCTCATCGTGGGAGGCATACTTGGAGCAGAGTTCTCGGACATCGGGCCAGTTGAAAGTCTCAGTGTCAAAGGGGCTGAGGGGACTCCGAGTGCAGGGCCGGCCCCCAGGTGAGGTGGTCCTTGGGCTGGCAGCAGAAGGGCTGAAGGAGAAACGGCGTGGGGACGTCTCTCTAGCAGAGGAGGGCTTGGGGGGGCTGTGCTCTTGGGCCACCAGCTGCTCGTAGGTGAAGAGAGAGAGCAAGGGCCTTCTCTTGCCTGTGAGGAGAGAGCGAGCCATGAGTGGCTGTGAGAGGAGGGGCCCGAAGGGAGGGCTCCCAACCGCCCTCAGCTCACTTCCCAGGTGAGACTGCTTCCTGGGGCTTGGTACAAAAGAAGAGAAATTCCATTAACTGCCCCTTTATCACAGGGCAACGGGAAGAGAAGAAAAGGCAGTGGGGGGAAGGGGCCAGGAGTCAAAGGAAGAAATGAGAGCTCTGCTCTCATCCTGGTAAGGGAGGGGCCCCTGACCATGTTCCTCCCTCTGCTCCACACAGAGGGCTCACCCAGAGGAGCAGGCTTAGCCTCAGAGCACCAGACCAGAGGCTGGGACTCACCACACATCGGTAGAGCAGGAGGTCCTACTTTTTTGTTTTGGGGTTTTTTTTTTGGTGGGGGATGGATTACCACGGACTCAGGGGCACTCAACCACTGAGCCACATTCCCAACCCTATTTTGTATTTTATTTAGTGATAGGGTCTCACTGAGTTGCTTAGGGCCTCACTAAGTTGCTGAGGCTGGCTTTGAACTCTCGATCCTCCTGCTTCAGCCTCCCGAGTGGCTGGGATTACAGACATGCACCACGGTGCCTGGCCCCACTCCTCCCTTTGACATGGTCTCTTTAGAAGTTACTTTCTCCAAGTTCCCAATTGACTTTTCCACCCCTGGACCATCACCCCCATCATACCTTTGTCACCTCCTAGGTCTCCAGGCTCCTCCTGTGGGCAGGGAACGGTGGGGCTCTTCCCGTCCCTCTCAGGAGCTGCCTTTTCCCACTGCAGTGGCGGCCTGGCCGTCACTGACTTGATGTTCTTGATGCGGAGGCTGTACTGGCGGGCCAGCTGGTAGACCTTGTTCTTGACACGCTCACTCATGTGGCTGTCCATCACATGAGAGAGCTGCATGATGCGGGGGTGCAGTGGGGTGACCAGCTCCCCCTGGGCACCGCTGCTCAGCTCCTTCACCAGTTCTTTCAGCTCCCGAGCCAGGTGGGCCGGGCTGGGCCGTTCCGTGGGGGAGGCGCTTTCTGGTGAGGCGGTAGCCGACTCCTCTGTGATGGCCCCCAGCTCATGCTCCTCCAAAATGAAGAGTGGCTCTTGCAGGTCAAAGCCATTGGCCTGGCCCTGGCCTTGCCCTGTCCGGGGACTCCCCTCAGCAGACTCCATTCTCTCCCACATTTTTACAATTTCAGAAGATGGACGGAACTCAGCATCCGTGATAGGAGCCGAGTCCCCTGTTCCCACCTGGCTGGGTCCTGGGAGATCAAACAGGGCCCAGGAGGCTGGTCGGGAGCCCCCCTGTCTCTTGTACTCTACTGGAGCTGCGGGCTTTGGGTCTGGCCTGGGAAGGTTGTTGAACCTGGAGACGGAGTTTCTCACTAGTCCTTTGGGGATGTAGGAGAGACTCTCCCGGCGCCGGACACTGAAGCCGGCATCATGGTGCTCTGCATTTTCATAGTAGCTCTTGATTTTGTCCAGCAGTAACCTGTCTCGGGTAGAGAGTGTCGATTCCTTCTTCTTGCAGGAAGACCTGTCAGGCTCCACAGGGCTGCCTGCAATTGGGGGTTCTGTCCCATTGACAGAAGGGCCACTCTCTGAGGCCATCCCTGTGCTGATGTCCATTTCTGGAGTGGGCTGGTTGCTGAGGGAGTCCGTGGTGCTGCCCCACCGGGCCAGGCCCTTCTCACTGCCCTCTAAGCTGAGCACGCTACTGCTCCGGCTGACCAGCCGTGGTGTCCCAAAGCCACTGGACTTGCCATCCTCCAGTGCCAGGCTGCTCCGCCGAGAGAAGCTGCTGACAAAACGCTCAGCAATGACACTGGCCTGGTCTAGCACAGAGGGTGGCAGGAGGCTCTCTGGCTCCTGGACTGTCCCCATTTCCTCCTCCTCTTCTTCACTGCTCAGGGCCTTAAGGTCCTCGTTGCTGTCGGCCACCACTAAGTCCACCATGTCACCTGGGTGGTCCATCTCCAGCAGCCCCTGGTGGGCATCAAGCTGTGTTTCCAGGACCTCTGGAGACTCTGCGTCTGAAGGCATGTCCTCAGTGCTGGGACCTTCCACAGCAGCAAAGACCTCCTGTTCAGGCCCAAGCTCAGGGTCTGGCTCAACCTGAGACACAGGAGAGAGAGCTCACGTGAGTATAAAGCCTCCCTCATGACACTGGGAGACACGAGGATGGCATGGTCTGCTCAGAGCCTGTGAGAGGGCCTGTAGGGTAGGACTGGAAGACAGGATGAGTGTGACTCAGTAGGGTGACAGGGCCTCACAGAAAGGAAAATGAGGATGTTGGTTTGTTTTGTTTTGTTCTGTTGGTACTGGGGATCTAACCCAGGGATGCCTTCCCACTGAGCACCCCCAGCCCATTTGTTTTTTAAGACAAGGTCTCACTAAGTTGCTAAGGCCAGCCTCGACTTGTGATCCTGTCTCAGCCTCCTGAGCTGCTGGGATTACAGGTGCACACCACCACACCCAGCAATGATGGTGTTTTTAATCACCCTGCAGCTAGGGTGCTGGGCTCATGTCCTCACACCAAGAAAATCATGAGGAATGGGGAAGGGCAGGGACACCTCTCAATGGCAGCCTGCCTGTGAACTATAGGCACAAGGTGGAGATTTAACACTGGGCCAAGCACTGCCCCTGACTCCCAGGGGCTGGCTCTCACTGAGCCATAGCACTAGGAATCCTTGGTCTGAAGGTAAGTCTCCTACCCAAGCTCTCAAGGTTCCAGACCCAGGCTGTGTGAGTGACATTCCAACTTCCCTAAGGGACCAAGGCCTCTGTGGGATGTCAGGAAGGAGGGCAACACAACCATGTGCCAAAACCCTGTTAGACCGTGAGGACAGGGAATTGGCTCCTACCAGACCCAGTACCTGTGGGCCTAGCATAAATGCATATGCCAGGACTGGGGTTGGAGCTCAGTGGCAGAGCACTTGCCTCGCAACTGTGAGGCACTGGGTTCGATCCTCAGCACCACATACAAATAAACAAATAGAGGTCCATCAACAACTACAAAAAAAAATCTTAAATGCATTTCCCAACAGATGGACATGGAAAGAAGCAAATTTGAGAATTCCCTCTTGACCACCACCTAAAGTATGGCTAGTCCAAACTGAGAATATATTTCAAAGGTTTTCTCTCTCTTTCTATATATATATAAAAGGATAAAATGCATCCATAACTTTTTATATTGATTACATGTTGAAATGATAATATTTTGGACCTACTGGGTTATATAAAATATAATGCTAAAATTAATTTCACGTTTCTTTTTAACATAGCTACTAGAAAACTAACATTACATGTGGGACTTACATCCTATTATTATTGCACAGTGCCACTTTCTATGGTCTGGATGATAGTGTCATCCTAAAACTGATGTGAGACCCTAACACCCAGTGTGACAGCATTAACCAACTGTGCCTTTTGGAGGTGATTAAGTCGTGGGTGGGGGCTCCTCCTTCATGAATGGAATTAGTGCCCTTAGAAAAGAAGCTTGAGGGAGTTTCTTTGCCCCTTCCACTGTGAGAGGACACAGCGAGAAGAGGACATCTATGAAGCAGAAAGCGGTCCTTCACTAGATATGGAATCTGCTGGTCCCTTGATCTTGGACCTTCCAGCTTGCAGGACTATGAATAATAAATTTGTTGTTTTTTTATTATTATTCCTTGCAGTACTGGGGATTGGACCCAGGGGTGGTCTACCACTGAGCTACATCCCCAATCCTTTTTATTTTTCGAGACAGGGTCTTGTTAAGTTGCTGAGGCTGGTCTCGAACTTGCAATTCTCCTGCCTCAGCCTCCCAAGTCACTAGGATTATAGGCATGTACCATTGCACCCAGCAATTTCTGTTGTTTTATAAGCTCCCAATCTAAGTATAGCAACCCAAACAAACAAGGACATCATGGTCTATTCCTATCCAGTGTCATCCAGCTTTTTAGTCTCTCCTGGCTAGGAAGGACAACCTGGGGTCTAGCCTAGCTTGTGACCTTTTCCCTATAACTTTGGAAGTCAGCTGGACTTGCCATCCCAAGGAGGTGGTGAAGGTGATGGAGGAGGAGGAGGAGGAGGAACAGCAGCAGCAGCAAAGGAGTCAGCTCCATACAACCCACAGTCAGCATGAGGTAGGAGAAGAGGAAGGTGGGCCTCTGAGCCAGAGATCCAGATCCACTCTCCGCTCTACCCAGCTGCAGCCCACCACTTAACCGCTCAGAGCCTCTTCTCCTTCTAGAGCTATTGCAGGGAAAAGAAGGGAGAGACAAAACAAAGCATAGGAGGCGTCCAATAGATGTCAATACCCTATTCCTTTGTCCAGGTGGCTGCAGGAGTGATTTAAATGTCTGGCACGCTGGCAGAGTCAGAGCCTTCTGCTGTATATAAGGTGGCCTAGCTTAGAGGACCTGAAGTCCTGGTTCACTTCCATTAGCTATGTCCCTTGGCATGTGGCTGTATCTGTCTCAAGGAAGGGTCAACTTTTTTTATAATTTATGGAAGGGGCTATCTATTCACCAAACCATATACCCTAGACTGGAAAGGTCTCCTGAAGGGGCAAGAGTTCGGGGGGGTGGGGGGACACAGCCCTATTTCCAAGAGCACAGTGGGACAGTTCCTGTCTCAAAGACCTGCTTGCAGACCTGGAGATTGGGGCTCCAGGCACCCCCACATTATCTCCATCCCATTTGCTGGCCACTCACCTCTGGCAGAGAAGAGATAGACTCGAAGCTCAGATGCTTCTCAGCACTGGTTGGAGAATGGTTACTGGGCCTTCTGCAGCTTTTGGGGCCTTCAGATTCCCTGTGTCCCTTCCCCTGAAGCAAGAAGACGTCAGTCATCAACTCCAGGACAACTGGGAGCTGGTCCCTTCTGCATCCCAACATGGACAGCATGTCCCATACCCAAGGAGGTTGGGCTGCCCTAAGCTAGCCCCGGACCTGAGACATTCCAGAGCACCTGACCCACCAGGCCTGGGGCCGCAGAGAGCCTTGCCAGGTATGCAGCTTTGGAAAAGCCCAGCCACTTTTCCTTCCAGGCCAAGTGGCCTTGACCTTTTAGCCCTGCAGTGTGCTGGCTTCTCCTCCCCCACCCCACCCCCACCCCATTAGTCCTACTCAGTGGGTTAGTGCCCAGTCCTGGAACAGCGCATGCCAGGGACTCACCAGGGCATGACAATGAGTGAGGAGGTTAAGAAGTGCTGATAGGAGTGAAGAAACAGGGCAGGGTGGGGAGGGGACAGGAGGGGACTCTCAGATGGGCATGCATGAGCTAGGGAACATGCAAGGAGGAGGGGAGATCAAAGAGACACCTCACCATAGCACCCCGGGAGAAAAGTAAAGCGTTGGCTCGATAGTGCCAGCAGTGGAGGGCGGCCAGCAGGGAGCTGGCAAAGTCAGCTACCTGCTCTGCCACTGCCAGACTCTCCTCCTCCTCCTCCTCCTCCTCCTCCGAGCCTGGGGGCTCCGGCCTGGCCCCCTTCTCGCTGCCTTCATGCCCTTCCAGGTCCTCCAGAGAGACCGGAAAGGCCTGCTCCTCCTCCTCCTCCTCCACCACCTCCTCCTCCTCCTCTTCCTCCTGCTCCTCTTGGGCAGCCCCTTCAGCCTGTGGCTGCAGGCCCCGTGTATGGAGGGGCTGCCCAAAGTCCAGGAGGGCACCAGCACTGCCTGCATGCTGTTCAGAGCACAAGAGCCCTCGTGACCAGCCTTGTGGGCAACCTCCTCCCCTCCCACAGGCAAATGGGGGCAGGGAGTGGGGGCTTCACACAGACAACCATCCATGCCCAGCCTCGGCCTCCACGGGATTCCAGTGAGGAGGGGGGCATCTCATGGTGGGGAGGCTTGGATCAAGTTGGGAACACAGGCCCTGAAGAAGCCTGACTGCCTCAGAGAGGGGAATGAGAGGGGAATGAGAAAGGCTCTAGGTGGGAAGGATGCCACTCCAGGAGAGGGTACAAAGGGTCCCCTGGGGCAAGGACCATCTTATTCATCCCTGTGACCCTGTGCCAGAGCCTGGCACCCAATAGGTGTTGATAGGTATATGGTGAATGAATGAAGACAGTAAGTAGCGGGGTGGGCCGACCTGGGCTATCCCTCCCACCCTCGGTCCTGCCAGCCCTTCTTCCCCGGCCTCTGCACCCACTGGCCTTACCTTCATTCCTGCTCCTCTGGCTGCTGACACCACCACCAGGTCCCCAGCACATGGGGAGGAGAAAAGACCAATAAGCAGGAGAAAGGGCCTCTTTAGAGAGGCCAGAGCCCCCAGGGAAGCCTCACTGAGGGCTCGGGCTCCAAAGACCCTTCACCCTGGGCTTTCAAAGGAATGGCTAACAGATGATCAGGAGCACAGGTCTGTGCCTGCTGCTTGGCTCCTGTTGTTATGGAGGAAAGGGTATAAGGCATGCAAGTTGAGGTAGAGCTCAATCCCCTCTTCAGGTGACATGAGGAACAGAGATGAGTTCCCTCAACCTGTTCTCCACAACCCCCCACCTGCTTCGCCCTCGCACCCCACCCAACGCTCCCTGCAAATCCCATCCACCCCCTCACATACTCACCTTTCTCGTTTAGTTGCCTGAGCAGGTGTCTGGTCGGCTCTGAGGAACACAAATGGGCAGAGTCAGCACAGGCCAAGAAATAGCGACACCTGGCCTGCATCCCACGCTCACAGCACCGCAGGCCCATCACCAGCTCAAAGTCCCTCTGGCTCACCTCCAGCAACCCTACGGCCCCAGGGAGGCTCCCTCCACACTGTCACCAAGCCTCCTCACACCTTGCCAACAGGGAGGCAGGGCCTGGGCCACTCCCATCCCGCTGCAGAGCCCCACAGTGCAGCATGTTACCCCAGTCCTTACAATAGAACACCCATGGCCTTTAGTTCTAGAGCCATAGAGACGGGATGGGCTCCATGCAGCCCCTTCAGACTACCCAGCCATGTCGCCCTTTTCCCTCTCTGGCAAAGACCTTGTCAGCACACTGGCTACAACCCCATAGCACCCTAGCTGGAAAACAGAGGTCACACCCGACTTCCTACGGCCCTGAAAGCCTAGCATCGCACAGCCTCGTTGCCTGTTGGGGAGTGTCGCCCAGCTGGATAAGGGGTGACCAGGCTCTGGGGACAGGACACAAAACATATCCATTAGACTGGTGGTGCCATGACCTCCTACCCCAGCCTTTCTGGGGGCAGACCTGAGGGATAGGAAGACCTTATCTCAAGAGATCCCTCTATGGAACCCCTAGCCTATCCCCATAGTTGCCCAGCTGGAGTTAAATAGGAGGCTTAGGGCCGGTCACGGTTTTCTATAAACTTGGAGCCAAGTTCTCTCAGCTGACCCTTGTCAGATGGGCAGACTGAAGAACTTCTTTACTCCTGAGATACACACATAAGTACGCGCTCTAACTGCATCAACATAAGTAAGCACCTCATTGCTTTTGAAGTGAGAAATAGAATATACTTTATTCTTTCATTTTAAAAGTTGTAATCAAGAATACTTAACAGGGGCTGAAGGTGTAGCTCGGTGGCAAAGCACTTGCCTAGCATGTGTGAGCCCTTGGGTTTGATTCCCAAAACCATCAAAAAAAAAGAACTTTTTTTTAAGACAACTTAAGATGTAACCATAGACCTTACTTATCCTATAGTGCACTTGTGTGCCCAATTCAGTTCTCTGGAAGGAGAGAGTAGAAAAAACTCCTGGGGAAGGCAGAGTAGTTGGCTAAGCCCAGGCACTAGGTCTTTGCAGGTAGCCTGAGACCCCCTCTCAGTAGCTCCCTAGTCTGTTTTTATCCACAGTTTCCATAAGTTCTTTCCATTGATTTCTAACCCAGAGAAGGAGGGAAAAGGGATACTAGAGACAGACATTCTCGGACTAAGGAGACTTTTCCTTAAAAACCCTTTTCAAAGTGCTATGGAAGAACTATCACGATGAACACATCTCAAATGCAGGCTGTCTCTATGGCAACCCACAGCCCCTACCCCAGGGCTTCTGGAGCATCTGGCAGCTTCTTCCCCACCAGTGACGCTGCACCAGCTCCAGAAAATGAACAGTTCAAGCACGGCCAGCACCCCCTGCCCTAGAGTCTCAAGAGTATCAAACGTTTCAGGAAGATGTCTGTTTTCTTAAAGTTAAAAATAAAACTCATAAACAAGTGAACAAACTGTTAAAACCAAACTCTTGTAGTATTTATTTATTTATAGGTTAAAATCTCAGCCACATGAGGGGCTGGGGATGTGGCTCAGAGGTAGAGCACCTGCCTAGCACGGCGAGACCCTGGGTTCAATCCTCAGCACCATATAAAGATAAATAAAGGTATTGTGTCCAACTACAACTAAAAAAAAAAAAAAAAAAAAAAATCTCAGCCACGTGGAAATTTCGGCTGTATAAAATGGCTCATTTCCTGACTGCCTTGGTGATAGCTTGGTTGAGATGTAATTTTTATACCACACAATGCATTTAAAGTGTACGAGTTGACGGTTTTAAGTATATTACAGTTGTGCATCGGAGGGAGAGTTTTGATGCTGACATTATGACAGACAGTACTACGGTTACCATAGCTACTATTATCACTTAAAAGCTTCCATGTTCCAAGAGCTTCTAATGTTAAGCTATGGCAAGTTAAGCGGGAACATCAGAGGAAAGGGAACAAAATAAGCCTAAGACCAATAAAGCAACACCCCCAATTTGGAGCTTTTAACCATAAAATTTTCGTAACCATTTCAAGTTTGCCCAGGGTTCAAGATCTACCTGAAGTAATACCAAACAATACAAAAACAGGACCACCTGGCTTCCCTACTAGAAGGCCAAAGCCCACTCGTCAATCCACATGGGTGTCCAGGGCAACCCATGGGTCAGTCACTCAACCCAATGCAGAGCTGGAGTTATAGCTCAGTGGTAGAACAATTGCCTAGCAAGTATGAGCTAGATGAATAAAAGTTCATCTACAACTAAAAATATTTTTAAAAGAAACAAAAAAAACAATGCCATTGTGGATCCAAACCAAGACACTGCTCTTAGTCACTCCACAATCTTTCTCTCAGGGCAACTATGAGATGGTTCTCAATCCCCATCCCCAACCCAAATCTGTCCCCAGCCTTTAGACCAAAGGGCAGAGTAAAAACAGACCAGAAAACACACATGTGCATTAGCATCACTGCAGAGCTAAGAATAAAAGCAAGGTTTTCTCTTTCTAAATAGACGATTCATTATAATAAATCCAAGAACACGTTGGCAAGTCCAGCAATGGAAGAAGGCCCAGGGGAGGAAAATGGAACCATTTCCTGAGACCCAAAGTAAATATTTCCTGTCTGGATTTGGTGCCACTTGGTCTAATTCATTTTCCTCATGTCCTGCTTCTGCTTTGCCATTCCAGAACTAGGCTGGGGATCACACAATGATGTCCTAGTGTTCCTCCCACTGGCTTAGTGTTCTGAGTGGAAAGGAGGGAGGTTTGGATGCAAGAGAGCTAAGAAGGGGCTGAGGCCTGAATGAACAAGTATTCCTAGGTCCTTAAAGGGGGCTGCCCAAGCTGGTGGGCAAGAAGAGCCCAGAAGTACCCTGAGGAGGGCAGTAAGAGCACAGGGAAAAAATACTCCATGGATGGCCTGCTGCCCTTGTCCTAGTTTTTGGAGAGATGAAAACATTGCCACAGATGACTCCCTGCCTGGTCCAGGGTCCTACAAAAAGGTCTCCTGCCCATACAACCGTCCCTTACCAGATTGCCGGCGCCCCTGGCGCACATGGGTGGACACCTCATCCTGAGAGGACCAAGCCTTCTTCAGCCGCTCTGGACTACAGCGGTACCGATTGGGATCTGCAACCAGAAGAAAGACAATCAGGTTTTGGATTCCATGGACCTTGACCTAGACCCAGCCCTTACCCAGCCACACCTCTGCTACCCAACCCCAGATCCAGGGCCCAGATGCCTCCAGAGTACCCTCCATCTTCTTCCATCTGGGGTCTTCAGGCTGAGAATCCTGCTCCTCAGCAGGACGGATTCCCTAATTGTGTAGATGACCTTCAACACTTGACAGAGGAGCCCCTCGCCCTCCCTGCTCCTGGAATAAAATTAGGCAAAGCCTGCCCAGGATGCAGCCTGACCTAACAGTGTATAATTAGGAACAAAAAAGGCAAAAAAGGATCACTCACAATAGGAATCCATTTCCAAGATGGCTTCCTTGGCCTAGAAACGAAGAAAACCCACCTAGTTACTACCTTGCTGTGTGCTGTACCTCTCTCACCCACTAGGACACCCCACAGAGCCACAACAAGGCCTGCGTACCTGCTATACCAATATCCACTGTCCACTGGAGCCAGTATCCAGAGGGTGGGGCCCCAGCAGATCCTCTGGACCTGGCCCCGAGGGACACACTCTCTCCATGCCCCACCAGAAGCACTCTGGGAACTGACCTTCTGGGGAATGGTGGCATGGTGGTTCTCCAGGATGAGCCTCTTGATGTGATGAGTCCAGCTCCGTTTCTCCTCCACTGTCTTGGCCTGAGAGGACCCAAGGGAAAGGGACCCCGGGGTTATTAGTATAGGCTGAAGCTGCTGGGCACAGACAGCACTTCTGCCTGAGGGAAAGGTGGGAGGAAGGACTGTGCTGGGCTCTCGGTGAGGTTGCCTTGACTCTTCACCACGACCCCAGGGTGTCTGCAATGACCCCTTTACAGATGGAGACACTGGGTCTTGGGGCAGCGGGGTGAGCCAAGGAGCCAGGAATCACATGCACAGGTGCTCGCCAGTCTTGGTCCCCACCCCAGCACCCTGGCCACCCCTCACCTGGATGCTGTACTGTTGCTTGCTGTGCTTGTAGTGGGTGACAGTGAAGCACAGGGAATCTTTGGTGCTCTCAATCAGCATCAGGGAGGAGCACTGGGGACAAAGGGAAGAGGGAGTCAGAGGGAGGAAGGGGGGACCAGCCATTGAGACAGTCTCACTAGGCTGGTGCTGGAGCCTGGTGAAGCAGACAAGAAGCAGAAGAGACAGGACCCTTTGGGAAGGGAGAAGACAGCAGAGGAGCTGGGGTGGCCTAGTTACCGGGATGTGACCCTTGTAGACAAAATGGTCGCCCCGTTTCTTGGTGATGAACAGTGTTTTGTCAAAGAGGAAGAAAGTCCTCTCGTTGCGCACACGGTGCACACGGAACGTGCCCTCCAGGACAAGCTCCCCGTAGATGGTCAGGTCTGGCCCCTTCCAGTTGATGAGCAGTGACTGAATTTCCTACAGCAGAAAGACCCCCAACCACCAGGGTCAGGCTTCACAGGCCCCAGAAGGCTCTTCAGACATCACCCCTCAGCTCATCTCAGCAGGGCAGTGACATTCCCTGTCCCCAGCCTGGCCCACCCACCCAGGCATCTCCACCCACCTCCCAGACCCAGAGCACCTGGAGACGAACGGCATGCTCGTGCCTCCTCTTCATGTCATTGATGTACCAGGCCACACAGGTCATGGTGTCAATGGCATCTTCCACCACCTCAAAGCCATCCTCTTCTTCATCAAAATGTTTGGCAATTTCCTGCACAGGAGAAAGGGGTTTGGACAATGTGGACTCAAAGGCCCTGCCCCTCCCTGAGACTCCATGTCCAGGGAAGGACACCTGGGCTACCTGGAGCAGCAGGTGGTACTTGAGGATGCGCTGGACTGGCTTCAGGAGGTAGGAGCCCAAGGGCAGTGAGTGCTGTAGGAGCTCCTGCCGGTCCCGAAAGAACTTGGCCTGCTGCTTGTCCCGCATACATTCTGTCAGGGCAGCCACAGAGCTGGGAGTAGGAAGAAGGAGTGTCACTGCTGGGGGGAAGGCCTGGTGAGGAGGAAGGGACTCCAGACTCACCACATGGCTCGGCATCCCATCCCACCCCAATTACTCACTTGGGGTAGTTGTTGCAATACTGGGTGTAGATATCAAACTCTTGGCTCTAGGAGAGATCAAGAAATAGTAATTTCAGGAAGTTTCTCATTTGACTATAAACCGTGTGGGACCCCTGGCCCCTAAGTGCCCTCTGTCTCCCCTTCCCCTGAGTGCCTGCAGAAACACCTTTGTATTCATTTCTCTAGGGCATCCCATCCACCAGGCAGACCCTGGGCACAGGGCACCCGGCCCTTCCCCTGGAGAGGGATCCCCAGGACTCAGGTATCTTCATGTATTGGGCTTTCCTTTCCCTTTAAGCTCCTTGCAAGGTGGAACAAGAACCCAGCCCTTCTTACCCTTTCCACAAAGCAGCTGGCCACAGCCACAGGGTCACTATTGCAGCTGTCCAGGTCTCTGAGTAGCTGGCTGGGTGAGGGGAGAGCAGATCAGAGGCCAAACTCTGCAGCCTCCCCTGCAGCAATATGCCCTCTGCCCGACCTCTTGAGACCCAGACTCACAGCCTGCTCTGCTGTCATGCTAAGAGCTAGGGCTTCCACCCTCTGGTGAGCCCTGCCCCAGAAAGTATCCAGCACACCACAAATACAGGGAGCCCACATGCTCAGCAAGCAGGAAAGGAAGAGGGGACACTACTACCCACCTTAGGAAAGGGACACAGATCCTCTGTGGGCAGAAGGAGTCAAACACACAAAAGCAGAGATTAAAGGGGGAAGGAAAGAGGAGACTAGTAAAGAAGACTCCCCTATGTAAAGGATGCAAGAAGCAGGGAGACATGGTAAGTTCTAGCACCCTTGATCTTAGATGGGAGCACTGTAGGAACCCCAGAAACAATGCTCCCCTGCCTCCTGCTCTTCCCTAGCCCACCATCTGCTGAAGTTTGGCCTGCACCCCACCCTCTCAGACTTCTCTGGCTGCAAAGGTCCCTCTGCCCATCTTAAGGGACTTGGGGGAAGGGTCCTCCTATCAACATTGTTCCCCAGGCTCTGCACCTCCTGTCTAGTGCCCCTCCCTGATGCTCCATGGTCCCATGGCAGCAGACACAGGCCCTCACAAGCCTCTTGGCCCTGAGGCAGCCCCTGGCCAGGCCTTGTTTGGCCTCTCCCACCGATCCTGCCTGGCTTGTGCATTCCACTAACAGGTCAAATCATCCTTGGGGAGTCCAGACTTCCCTTGGGACCAGTGGGAAGGAGAAGTAATTATAAGAAGTGCAAGTGGGGAACGAAGAGGAGGCCAAAGGAAGAGCACTAGCGTGGAAGGTTCTAGCTGTCCCCTGAGAAGGTGCTGGCCCAGGCTGGACCAAGCAAGCACATGCCCTCAAATGATCTATCTCTTCTCCCCAGAGCACATTTTCCCAGCTGGTATCCTGTCTCCTAAACGTGCCCTTGTGCAGAGATGAAACTCCCCTTCCCCCTATCCTCACAGATTAGATCCCAGGCCCATTTGTCACAGCCCATGTCCAGGGACATCTAGGCTCCTCCCGGGGTCCCAAGATGGGCCTCATCAGCAGAAAGTGGTGAGCATCAGGCCCATTCACACACCTGTTCAGGGCATAGATGCTTTCTATGTTCCCAAAGAGGGCACTGACTTGTTCTGGTGTCAGCAGTCCAGGCGTGTCGATGATCTTCAAGAGGTAGTCCTGCATGGAGAGAGGGGATCAGAACCCAGCCCCTCCTGGCTCACCCTGTTCTCCCTACCCACCCCGCCCTGCCCACCCCTCAATTCTGTACTGCATTTTATAGCTATGACACAATTTCACAGACAGCACTCACTGTACTGGGTTAGACAGTGTCCACCCAAAACTTCATGCCCACTTGGCACCTCAAAATACAATGTTATTTGGAAATAGGGTCTTTGCAGATGTCACTGGTTAAGGCTCTGAAGATGATATAATTTTTAGAATGAACTCTAAATCCAATAACTGGTATCCTTATAAGAGGAAAGGACCCAGACACAAAGAAGGTGATGGGAAGAGAGTAGAATGATACAGCTACAGACTAAGGGACCCAGAGAGTGCCAGCAACCTCCAGAAGCTAGAGGAGAGAATGGAACACATTCACCTGGAGGCTCCCGAGAACCAACCTGGCTAACACCTTGATTTTGGACTTTTGAACTGACAAAGAATTAATTTCTGTTGTTTTAAGCCACGGGATTTGTGGTGATTTGTTACAGAGCCTTATCAACCTGATATACCTCTCTCCCTAGCAGGGCAGAAGGACCGTCAACACCACATCACCATTTCCTGCGTGCTGTGCAGTCTCAAACACTTTACAAGCCTGGCCAGTTAGGCATGGCCTTGCTTTGCAGGTGAGGAACCTGAGGCTCAGGGAGTTACACAGAGACTAAGACATCACAGGCAGAGGACAGCAGAGTAGGGATCTAGATGTGACTACGAGGGTTCAGTCCCTATGAAGCACCATTGTCTTCCAAGTGGGGCTGGAGTCTCTCCCTCCCTATCAATGGTGCCTCCTCCATGGACACATGCAAAAGTTCTTCTGCCCTAACTACTGATATGGCTCAGTGTCATAAGGAAACCCAAGAAGTCACAGGGTATGGCTCTGAGACCTCCCCACCACTCCCTGAGAAGAATGTCCTGAGACAAATGTGCAAGGGAGACCTTTCCTTCCTTGGGTATAAACAGGTTCCTATGAGAGCTGAGCCACTGGAGGCCAGTGTCCCCAGCCCTGCGAGGAAATTAATGGACCCCTCCCAGCATCAGCACTCACCTCCACGATGCTGCGCAGGTCCTGCACATACATGCGCTCTGTTTCCACAATCTCCCTCACCACTCGGCCCAGGTAGCTGAGCTTGTGGTGCGCAGGCCCTGCTGCCGCCCGGCTATTGAATGGGGAGAGGGGTCCCTTCATGTTCAGCCAGCTGCTGGAGTTGTTGTTGCTGTTGGGGGCATGCCGGCCACGTGGGGAGCCTGCCCCATTCTGGGCCGAGGCCTCAGAGCCAATGGGCTCCTCCATGGCACTGTGGCTGTCACGGGAGGAGCCAGATGAAGAGGTGGTGGACGTCAGGCTTGCTGGCCGCTCCTGGCTGCCATCTTGGCGAAGGGCGGTGGAGACGGGCATCCTGGCATTGCTGCCTGCAGGGTGCACTTCGGGGAGATTCTGGAGCAAAAAAGAGACAGCAGAAGGATCAACCTCTGAGTCTCCACAGAATCAGAAAGCGGAAGGAAGGTTGCCAGGGAGAGGGGAAGGGTGGAATGGGAAGTTATTAATGGTGAGTACAGAGTTCAGTTTCATAAGATGATGACAGTTCCCCGGATGTGCAGTGGTGACAGCTGCACAGAAGCACGAAAGTACTTAATGTCTCCAAATTGTACACTTAAAAGTAGTCAAGATGGTAAGTTTTACATTAAGTGTATTTTACCACAATTTAAGAAACAAGACAAAACTGAAGGCCAATGAGGACCATTCTCTCAGAGTACATGAGCACTGGCAAGGATGCCCAAGTGACATTTCTTCCCAATTCCAACCACTCCATCTCCATCCTTCCCAGAGCAGAACAGGTGGCTTACTCCAGGGAACAATAAAAGGCCTAGAAATTTGAGGCCCCAGGAAAGCAGAGAGGACACCGTTCCAGCATAGTAGTCCAGGGTACCTTCTGGGGAACTCAAAAGTCCAGCCCTGCCACTTGGGCAAAGTGCTTATTCTCTCAGAGTCTCGATCTGCTCCTCACCTGTAAGTGGGGATGGATACAGCCTACCCCAGGGGCTGTGTCCTCCAAGATGAAGTGACCCACTGTCTGTACAGCTCTCAGCATGGTGCGTGGCACAGAGCAAATGCTCCATAAGCCATCCGTATGGTGAGGACAATGGTAGTTGTCAAACGCACATCCCTAGTGCCTGCCTGGCAGGGCCTGCGCTGGGGTGAATGCACAGGGAGGAGGGATCTAGCTCTTACAAAGTTAAGACAGCACTCGGACCAGCAGGCAATATTCTCCCAGAACTGCAAAATCTCAGGCACCAGTGGCTTCATCATGCACCTGAAACTTTATGGCTACTGATGGGGAAGACAGAAGAGATGGTGGCATGGCTGAACCAACTTCACCCCCTGCCCCACCCTGGCACTTGGTACAGGTAGGACCCTGACTCAGCCAAGCCAGGAAATTCCTCAGAGTTGAGCCACTGCTGAATCTCTATAAGCTCCTGGCAGCACAGCAGGCAGGAAACTGCACCCAGGTGAGGCAAACACAGCCTCAGGTGGACTTTATTCCCCAGCAGATGGTGCAGCTCACAGGCAGGCCCACCCAGAGTGGGCAGGGAGAAGTGGCTAGAGCCTACTTCAGGTTGTGGCCTTTGGGAAAGACAAGACCCACCTCACAGGTCCAGAGCTCACTAATACCACTTTCCAGAATGTTCATTTGATGGCTATTTCCAAAGGGTCAAAAAAAAAAAAAAAAAGCTTGTGTGCATCCCTCTCGCCTCTGCTAACCCAATTCTTCAAACTCTAGCCTGGGACTCTGAAGCTACTGACCCACAAACATAGCCAAGAGGCACAGGTTTGGGTTACAAGGAGAGAATCTAAGAAGTGTCATCACTCCAGTATCCTTGGCACTGGCCCCCTGATTTTCTGTGCCTCTGCCCCTACTTGCAAGCCAGTACTCTGGACCTTGGCTTTTGCAAATATTGTGCTCTCTGCCTGGGCATTATTTCCTCCCCACCTACTCCATGCCATACCATCCCCCAACCTTCAATCTCAGATTAGAAGCCACTTCCTCCAGGAACCTTCCCATACCACCCCCCAAAACCTGGGGTACCCCTGCTATGTACTCTTACAGCCTCCCAGGTTTCCTCTTCTGAGACCCTCTGCTCTGGACTGTAAATTACTTAAGTACAGCAATCACAAGGGCAGATTTGGCAAATGAATAACAATGGCGTACAAATTGATGCTTTTACTAAACTAAAAGTCAGGCAGGCCAGACCTACTTACCTTCCATCACTTAATTCAGCTCAGCCAGCCAGGACCTTCTGGAACACAGGACTTTGTCATGCTGGATCTCAGCTGGGGATGGGAAAAGGTCACCTTTGAGGTGCTCTACAAAATCCCCTCAAGTGGCAGATGAGGACACAGCGGCAGCACTGGGACCAGCCTGGTGTTCCTCTCTGCTGTGCCACGCAGGGAGGATTACATAACAGGACTGTGTGGGTGCATCTCAGAGGAGAGCCCCAGGGAAGACAGTGCTACTGCTTCCTCCTCCCTCTCCAAAGAGGCTTTGCAGTTAATCAGCTCTGCTTCTCTGGAGAACCAGCAGCAGGGCAACAGCAAAGGCAGCAGGAAGAGAAAGACCCAAGCCTCACCTCCACTCTGGACCCCCCAGGTCTGGGGCACTCTGATGTCCTTCAAAGCAGCTGTATAGTCAGGCACCGCCCCCCATCTGGAACAAGGGATTTATGGCCTAAGACCTTTCCCAGATCCCTGGGGTCAGTTACCTCCTGTGGGGAGGCTAAAAGGAAAAAGCCCAAATCCCAAATGGATTTTGCAGCCAGGCAGATCACAGCCTTAAAGCAAAGGATTAATTACAGACCCACTCCAAACTGCACATACCAGGGAGATCTGTCACTATAGGGTACCTTCTGAGGGTTACTCTTTGGTGATCCCACTGTGTGAGGATGGCAACATAAGTACACTAGGAACCCAGAAACTAATTATTTTCTACTTTGAGAAGTTTTGAAAAAGTGGAATTCACACCTAAATTCTCCTAGAGCTAAAACAAACCAGAGAAGCCACCTACTGGCAGGTTCTCCGTGCCATATGCAGGAAGTCACCCCTCAAATAAGGCTATGCAGCAGGCACTCTCAGGGTCCCCATAGATTCAGAGCTGAAGCCACAGAAGTAGTAAGTGGTAGATCTGGACTTGGAAAGCAGGCCCCAGAACTTATGCTCTACCAGACCCTGCCTCCCTGATGGATTTCACATCAGTCAGGGCGACAAGCAAAGGATTAGTGACAGCCCCTGGATGCATGGCTTTGCTTCAGAATAAGCTATGGAGGACATGGGAGACATGAAAGACTAGAGTCTATAACACTCCAAAGGACTGAGAAGGCTATTTCTGGACCTGCCTACCACGTGGCCTCTAGCATTTACTCTCCCATTAGAGCAACACAGTAATAATACAAATTCCAGGTCAAAGGATCACAGGCCATGCGGAAGCAGAAAGGAGAAGGGAAAGGTCCCTAGGATCAGATTAAAAATTTCTCAGATGACAACAGAAACCCTGCAGTGACTGGGAGACCCACCCATGATCACAAGGCTCTCTCTCCTTGGCAGAATTCACTGGGAAAGAACCTAGAGGCCAAGAAAGGGAGGGCCAAGGAGAAATGGGCAGCAAGTACAGCAAGGCAGGTCCGTGTGTGGGCTGTGGAGAGGCCACTGTGACACAGTAGACACACCCCAATCCATCGAGCAGAGACAAGTACCACCCACATGCTCCCAGGACAGGGGCAGCCTTTCCTTCCTATGTGATCTGGTAAGCATCACCCATAAGGTAAGATCCTCTCTCCAACCTAGGATGAGAAATTGGTTCCTCCAACTCATTCTGGAAGACACTGTCTGCTGGGGAATGAGGGGATGAGGCAGACAGCAGCCAGACCCTCAAGCCCAAGCCCACGCCCACCCCATGCTACCATACCTGGTCTCCAAGTTCCCTAAGCATTTCCTGCAGAGACCTCTTCCAACAGAGTCAATCCAGTCAGTATCAATCCATGAATTAACCTTCTGGAAAATCTCCTTCTCATATCCTAAGCTGTGAATCCCTGTCGAGGTCCCCAAAGAACTTTCTTTATGATGAGCCCAAGAAACACAGGTATATACCTTTTTTAAGGATGCAGGAGCATGAGAGGAAGGAAGAATGATTTCTTTCTCTTTCCTTCTTTTTTTTTTTTTGGCAGAACTGGGGATTGAAGCTAGGGCCTGACATGCCAGATAAGCACTCTACCACTGAGTCATACACTCAGCCCTTTTTTTTGAATACTTTTACTTACTTATTTGTTTGTTTATTTATTTATTCATTTATTTAAATGTGGTGCTAAGGATCGAACCAGTACCTCACATGTGCTAGGCAAGTGCTCTATCACTGAGCCACAACCCCAGCCCACCCAGCCCTTTTTAAAAAATATTTTGAGACTGGGACTCAGCTGGGCATGGTGACACACACCTGTAATCCCAGCAACTCAGGAGGCTAAAGCAGAAGGATCATCTGCCTAGGCGATTTAGTAGCACACTGTCTCAAAATTTAAAGAAAAAAAAAAAAAAAAAAACTGAAGGGCTGGGGGTTGTAACTCAGTGGTACAGCGCCCCTGGTTCAATCCCTAGTAAACCACCCCCCCCCACAAAAAAGCTTTAATTTAAATATAAGGAAAATTACATTCTTCCTCTACCCCCACACCTGCCCAAGTTATACAGCCTCACCTCCTGAGAATAGGCCCTACATCTCCCCAGGTATGGAGTCAGGCAGGTTACAGCAGGTCCCTTGGAATCCCAGCAGGGTGGACTGGGGCCAAGTCTCACATCCTTCCCCTCCCAACCATGCCTCAGCACCATTCCCTCAATCTGACCCAACAGGGGGGAAAAAGATACCCCCAGGAAAGTGCAATGGCTTCTGTGTTTTGTCCTCAGGCCTCTTGTAAATGAGCAGTGAGATCTTACTTCCCCACCACATTCCCTTTAGAAAGGAACATCCCACAGGGGTACCCACCTGCAGCCCTCAAGAATTCTATGCCTCTGGTTCTGGGGAATCCCCAGGAATCACCTCATTCCCTCAGACTTTGCTCCCAGGCAGCCAACGAGCCGAGAAGGCAGTGAACCCTTTGGTGGGCAGGTAGGCTGGAGACTCCCCAGAAAACATTCTGGTTAAGAGAAGCTGACGTCATCCTTTCACCTACTGCCCTTCCTTCACCCGACACCCAAGAACGGAAATGCCACAGCACCACACCTGTGTGGTGTGGTGGGCAGGAAAGGAGTAAGGGGGTTCCCCCAATAGTAGCTGCTCCAAAGTCCACCTTCCTCAGCCAGAAGGTGCAGATTGCCGCCGTCACCTCTTGGCTGTAAACATCTAGATGTCCTAAAGGTCTCAGAACTAGAGTGGCCAAAGGGCTTTTGACCTTCCCCAGAACAATCCCCCAAGTCCATCTTCAGAATCTCCTCAGAAAGGGTGCCGAAAGGAAGCCACAGAGAGCAACCACAACTGCTCTGACACCAGGGTGGGGAGCAGTGTAACTTCCACAGAGATCTCAACTGAGACCCTAAAACCACGAGGCTGTGCTCTCCCAGCTCTGCACACCTCCGGCCACCCTACTCCCACAGCCCAGCTCCTGCCCATCAGTTCCTACTGCTCCTGACCCATGTCCTAGAGCCTCTCCAGGGGAGGGGACGACCCCAAGAGGGCTTGGCCACCTGAGAAAACTCCCTGGGGAGTGACTTTGTGTTTATTGTATGCAACATGCTCTGTAGAGGCTGTGGCAACTGTGTGATCAGGGTTGCTGGACCATTCAAACCCAGCCCAGCTGGCTCAAATTCATTTTCCCTCAGGAATTTGTTTTCCCAGCGCCTAAGAGCAGCAGGGGTCCACGCTGTCTGAGACCCTGAGCAGGACCACAGCTGCCAGGAAGGAAAAGAATTGTGGTTGCTCTGCCAATGGAGCCCTCCCACCTGAATTCCAGGAGGAAGTCTGGGCCTACAGCCTGAAGTCCAGAAAACTCCCTCAGCCTGGCCTTGGAAAGGAAGGAGAACCCTGGGGTTCACCCACACCCCAATGTTCTCACCTCCCACAACCTCAACATTTGCTTGTGAATGCAGCATTTCTCAGAATGCAACAGCAGACCCTCTCCATCTATAAATGTAACCAAATCACTTCCTTTAGAAAGGCATCCTCAGTCATTTCCAACATACTATACTACAGTAGGGTGAACAATGCCCCTGCCATAGAAAACCATGTCCACAGATATCCTCAGAATCTATGTCACCTTGTGTGGCAAAAGGGACTTTGCAAATGTGATCAAATTAAGGATCTTGGCCAGGGGCAGTGGCGCACGCCTGTAATCCCAGTGGCTGGGGTGGGGGTGGGGGCTGAGGCAGTAGGATCATGAGTTCAAAACCAGCCTCAGCAAAAGCAAGGCACTAAGCAATTCAGTGAGACCCTGTCCATAAATAAAATACAAAATAGGACTGGGGATGTGGCTCAGTGGTCAGTCAAGTACCCGAGTTCAATCCCTGGTACCAAAAAAAAAAAAAAAAAGAAAAATTAAGGATCTTTTTTTTTTTTTAAATATACTTTTTAGTTGTAGTTGGACACAATACTTTATTTTATTTATTTTTATGTGATGCTAAGGGCCTCCCATGTGCTAGGCAAGTGCTCTACCACTGAGCCACAACCCCAGCCCAAATTAAAGATCTTAAGGTGGGAAGATCATCCTGGATTATCTGGGTGAGCCCACTGTAATCATAAAAAGAACCCCACAGGAGTCAGAGTAAGACAGATGTTTTTATGACGTCAAACAGAGGAGCAGAGAGAAAGAGGTGGAAGATGCTATGCTGCTGCCTTTGAAGATGGAGAAGTGGCCATAAGCAAAGGAAGCTGAAAAGAGCAAAGAAACAAATTCCACCCTGGAACCCTTAGGAAGAATGCAGCTCTGTGGACTTAGCTAAGCCACTAAGTTTGTGGCATTTGTTAAAACAGCAATAGGAAACTAATACACACACGTCTTTGAATTCTAATAACCTGGATATCATTTAAAGCACTGGTCCATGGAGTTCATATGTGCAAGCATTTCTTTTGAATTAGTGAACCCCAACAGTCTGGATCTTCACTACCAGACAGCAAGACACCACTAGGTGCCCGATAGATGCCTGCTGGGAGGACTGCAGGACCACACCTAGAACACTTCACCACTCCTACAGTGGATAAAGGTAAATAGCGGTCAAGGTCATGACCAAAGCCAGTTCCTTCTAGACTAATGAGTATCCACATGAGTCACTGCCAGCAAGTTTCCAGTAAGCCAAGAAGC